GTCAACCAGACAAAAACTTAGCAAACAAATAACAGAACTGAACCAGAGCTTGAAACAAATGGACTTCATGGACATATACAGAGTGTTCCACTCAAACACAGCTGAATACAAACTTTTCTCAGCTGCATATGGGTCATTTTCTAAAATAGAGCACATACTGGTCCATAGGTCATGCTTAAGCATATGTAAGAAAACAGAAATTATCCCATGCACATTATCTGACCACAGTGCAATGAAACTGAAATAAATGACAAAAGAAACCAAAAAAAACCCTAAGTACATGGAAATTGAATAACACCCTACTCAGCAACCAATGGGTCGCAGATGAAATTAAACAAGAAATTCAACAATATCTACAATTCAATGAAAATTCAAGCACAACTTATTGGAATTTATGGGACACGATGAAAGCAGTTCTCAGAGGGAAATTCATAGCTGTGAACACACACATTGGGAAAGCAAAATGGGAAAAAATAAATACACTAATGCTGCAACTTCAACAACTAGAAAAGGAAGAGCAAACCAAACCCACAGCCAAAAGACAGGAAGAAACTATAAAGATTAGAGCAGAAAGTAATTCAATTGAGATGAAGAAAAAGTTCAAAGAATTAACGAATCAAAATGCTGGTTCTTGAAAGATTAAATAAAATCAATAAGCCCCTAGCAAACCCCATCAAAAGAGGAAAGAAAAAATTCAAATACAAGCAGTAAGAAATGAAAAGAGTGTAATTACCACAGACCTGGTGGAAATTCAGAAGATTATCAATAGCTACTTTGAGAATCTTTACTCTCACAGAATAGAATTCACAGAAGGAATGGACAGATTCCTAGAAAGGTACAAATTACCACAAAAGAATCGACAAGATATAACCACTCTCAATAGGCCAATAACAGCCAATGAAATATGAGATGTAACTAAAAACCTACAGACAAAGAGAAGTCCAGGTCCAGATGGATTCACAGCTGAATTCTACAGGACATTTACAGAAGATGTAGTCCCTATACTCCTCAAACTCTTCCATGAAATTGAAAAAGAAGCAATTCTCCCAAAATCATTCCTGGAGGCAAGCATTATACTGATACCAAAACCAAGGAAAGGTGCAACTAAAAAGAGAACAACAGGCCTATCTCCCTCATGCACATAGATGCCAAAATCTTCAATAAAATACTAGAAAACAGAATACAGCAAATCATCAAGAAGATCATATACCATGACCAGGTAGGATTCATCCCAGGGATGAAAGGATGGTTCAACATTCAAAAATCTATCAATGTAATACACTATATCAATAGAGCGAAAACTAAAAACCACATGATCATCTCCATTGATGCAGAAAAGGCTTTTGACAAAGTCCAACATTCATTCATGTTCAAAGTCCTACAGAAA